AAAAAAAAAAAAAAAAAAAAAATTACATATGTCTTGAGGAGGGCAATATCGTCTTCATCGAGGGGTCTAGGGTTTTTCTCGTCCTTGATCTCATCCTCAGGCTCCGGTGCCATTTTCAAAGATTCTTGTTAAGCTTTTCCCCTCACGATCTGAAACGTATGTATATATCGAACAATTTTGTTGAAGATGAGAAGAAACTAATTAATATTGTGTACGATATATGTGATCGCGTGTTTTGCTTGTGACTTAATGGGCTGCTGGTCCAATTAGAGATATATGGGCTAGAATTAAATATTACGTCGGGCTGCCCAACAAAAGCCCCATCAGTTCCTACCATTTCGTTGATTAATCCCGAGAAAATTACTCCCCTTACATTTGCTTATGGAAATAATATCATAATTACGAGTAGCAAAAAATCTATTAATATATAATAAGGATTAACTTAAATCATTTTTAGTAATATTTTCCCGCCATCAGCATTAATTACTTACTATATATGGAAATAATATACTATTTAAATAAAAAACAAATCATTAATTGCATAGTTTCCATATAACTCATATTTCATTCTGTGTTTATTTTAGACAATTATATGTTTCCTATAATTAAGTTAATAGTTATTTTGTAGGTAAATGTTATTTTTGAATCTTGATTTATGTAGCTGATTTCCTGTACATAATTATGTAGCTTATTTTGGAATCTTCATTTATGGAGGATTCATTTTTATTTTAATTAGAATCATTAATTTGAATTAGCATATATGCTATATACACAAAATACAATTTTAGAGTAATATTCAAATTTATATGGCGCCAATTTTAGAATTCTCATTTATGGAAGATTCTTTTTGATTTCATCATATTTATTAGAATCAATGATTTAGGTTGCCATATATATACTCAAAATATAATTTTAAAGTAACATTCAAATTGGTTTATTCATTGTAGCAAATTCTGAAAATAAACGATTTATTATGATATATATATATATATATTCCCTTTTATGCGAGATATATACAAATCCTCATTTATATTATTTTTTACTATTGTTTGTAAAACAAAGTTTTTGAAATTTTGTATAGGAAATCGATTTTCTATTGATTGTATTAATAAAAATATAAATCTACTAGACAAAAACTATATATATATATATATATATAAATTTACTACATAAAAAATATTCATACAAATAAACTTATTTGTTTATGTTTATTTGTTTATTTTTTATTCATACAAATAAAAAATATTCATACATATAAACTTATTTGTTCATACATATAAACTTATTCATACAAATATTATGTTTATTTTTTATTCATAAAAAATATTCTTATTTGTTTATTTACTACATAAAAAATATTCATACAAATAAATTGATTGTTTTTATCACTTTTTTTTTGTTATGTTTCAAAAATGAACTTATTGTAAAATATT